CATATTAGCACCTGGCGTCTCCTCCTACCAGTGGGACCTAACAGGCAAACAGAGACCAGAGCCCCAGGTGGGGTCCAAGGCTAACATTTTCAACAGATGAGATACAAGAAGTCAGAACTATCCTAGAAAGAGGGTTTTCTGTTTGGCTGAAGCTTGGGTGGTTGGGTGTGTCTGTCTGTGTTTTATGTGTTTTGTGTTGGTGTTTTGGAGGGTAGATGGAAAGGGGGTGGTGGCTGAAGCTGACTAAGGCAAGAGAAATCAGGACTGAGGAAAGAATTACTTAGCTTCATAAATTTTTTTCCAAACAGAGAATCTTTCAGAAATTAGAGCCAGGACTGAACTTGAATTCTCTGAGAACAGAGAAGGAGAAAGGAGATATGCCCAGAGTAGGAGGAGAAAGTAGAAAGGAGGGTTCCTGGGTCTGCTGGGGCCTTGGGGCAGGGTTGGTCAGCATCCAACCCTCCTCCTGCCATCTCCTTCACTGCTAAAGGCAAAAGGCCAGCATGTGGCCTGCTCATTAATTAAATGCTGAGTGTGGAAATGAAAAATAGCTCTTTGGTTTGGCTGCTGTGTGTGTGTGTGTGTGTGTGTGTGTGTGTAAGAGACAGAGACAGGACTTGTTACTACGGGGAAGTGATATGATGAAGAAGTAAGAACTGCCATTGCTTGTGACCTTGGGAATGTTCTTGAACCTCAGCAAGTCTCTCAGTTTGCCCCTCTATGAAGACAGAGTAGCATTATCAGCCTTGGAGGGTGGCAAGGATTAGAAATAGTACCCAAGTGCCAGCCCAGGGGGCACAGTCTGTGGGGGCCAACGGCAGCCAGCTGGCTGTGGGATTTCTTTCTTTTTTTTTTTTTAAAGATTTTATTTATTTATTTGACAGAGAGACAGCAAAAGAGGGAACCCAAGCAGGGGGAGTGGGAGAAGGAGAAGCAGGCTTCCCGCTGAGCAGGGAGCCCAATGCGGGGCTCGATCCCAGGACCCTGGGATCGTGACCTGAGCCGAAGGCAGACGCTTTAAAGACTGAGCCACCCAGGCACCCCTGGCTTTGGGATTTCTACCTCTCAGAGCTCTCTGTGCCTCAGTTCTCTGTTTTGGAAATGAAGTGAGATTCTCCCAGCTCAATTTACAGGATTGTTGCAGGATGAAATAAGATCAAACACATGAAAGAATTTTAAGCTGTAGAATTTTGGACAAATATGGAAAATATCATTAATAACCGAAAGCATTTTTGTGCTAAGATACCACAGGCAGAGACTGCCCGATACGCTTTTAAAAGACTGGCAAGGGGTCCACTATCTTAAAAAGTGATCTCCCCCAGTGCCTCAGATTTTCCCATCTTCCTATGAGGCCTCCTTCCTTTGATCCTGGAGGCTGTCAGTCTTAGGGCAGTGCTTCACCAAGTGCCATCCCCTGACCAGCAGCATCCCCATCACCGTTAGAAATGCAAATTCTCAGGCCTCACCTCAGACCTACTGAACAGAAACTCTGAGTGGAGCCTAGAAATCTACATTTTAAAAAGATCTCCAGGAAAAGCATAGGCACATCAAAGTTTAAGAAATATTGTTTTGGAGCTTGTGGGAGGGCAGATTCTGATTCTTTAGGTCTGAAGTTGCCTGAGATTCCTCATCTCCCAGGTGATGCCTACGGTGCAGGTTCTCAGACATAACAAGGTTCGAGAGTGTCCTATAAAGTCAGGATTTTTGCATGAACGGAAGTAACGCCCTAATAACCAAGACTTCAGTTAAGAGCAGTTGTGCACAGGCCTTTCAGGAATGGGTAGCAGGAAAGCCTGAAGGATTCTGGGAGCAAGAGAAACACAGGGAAGCCATGAGAAAGAGGTCTTAAGAAAAAAAGAGAAGGTAGGAGATCACTGAAGGTAAAGTAGGCTGCCCTTGCAGAATATGCTCAGGGCAGATCCAGGCGTTTATTAAATCCATTCACCCACTAAGTGCTGTCTATATGTTAGGCACTGTTCTGTATTTTTTACACTCATCAACTCACTGAGTCCACTAACAACCCAGTGAGGCTGGTACTATTTCCATTTTACAGAGGAGTAAACTAAGGAACAGAGAGGTTAAGTAATTTGCCCAAGATCATTCAGCTTGTTGGAGCCGGGATTTAGAACTCAGGCAGCCTGACTTATTAGCAGTAGACTGTTCTGCCTCAGATATAGTTTCTGCCATCAGGAAGCTTACAGTCCCATGAGGAGTGCAGGCTAGGACTAAGAATGGCCAACACTTGGATGATGCCTATTATGTGCCAGGCACTATTCTGAGCCCCTTACAACATATCTACTGTTTTAGCTCTTATAGCAATTCTAGGAGATGGGGCAGGGCACTGCTGAATGGGCCTGGCTGTGCGCAGAACTGCATAAAACAGGTCTCTCTGTTCCTGGAGGTTTATGCATAGATATCTCAAACACCTAAAGTCCCAGACTCCCTGTGCTAAGCAGAAAAGCTCCAATCCAGAAATAACCTGGTATTGGAGACCAGGGCCTCCAATACCTGGTCCAAGCCCCACTTTGTGTCCTCGGCCTCCACACCCTCGTTGCTTCCCAACCTGGCCTCCAGAATTAGGCCTCACTGTGCAGAAGAGCAGGTGTACTTGCCAGCCCTTCGGCTCACCCTAGCTCCCACAGCTACACCCACGTTCATGCAGCAGATGATTCCCCCTGTGTGTGCTGCCCGGGCAGGCCTGCGAGGCCAGGCTGTGGACCCTCCTGACAGGCACCAGAATGAGGGGCCTGCTGATGGCTGGTCCCTGCTGCTACTGCCTCAGCCCACCGGGGGCAGCAGCTCTCACCCGCCCTCCCTCCCTGCCCCACACACCAGACATCACTACCTTGGCCCTTGGGAGTCAAGAAGTTGCCCGACAAATGAAAACTGACCTCACGTCTTTGCAAACCACTTTGACAATACATTTCAAGAGCCAAAATATGTGTCTATCCCTTGATCCAGTAATCCTCCTCCTGTTGGATTATTTACAATAAATTTCCAAAAGTAGGGGGGAAGGTTCCTACACAAAGATCGTCTGTGCAGGATTAACTATTCATTTAATAAATATTTATTGAGTTCCTCCTGTGTGCCAGACACAGTTTCAGATGGTGTAACCAAGATAAACAAGGTCCCTGCTCTCCTGGGAATTAGAGCTGTGGGAAAAGACAACAAATACCTACATAAATGAGGAAAAATAATCTATTTACAAAATTATCTGCAGAGAATTAAAATAAGGGTCTGTGGTGGAGAATAACTGGGTGGCTGCTCTTGATTACGGGGTCAGGGAAGATCTCTTAAATGTCAGTAAATAAGATGACCTCTAAAGCTGAGATTCTCATGATGAGAAGGAGCAGCCGTTTAAGGTTCCAGAACAGGAGGCTGGTGGTCCAGGGAGCTTCAAGAAGGCTGATCAAAGAAAGAAAGTGATCCGAAATGAATTCAGAGGTGGGGGAGGGGCAGATCACTAGTATTTTGTAAGCACGGGTGAGATGTTTGAACTTAATTCAATAGTTAGTACTAAGCAAGGGCATGCGACCAGATTATAGATGAGAAAGGGGCAGGGAGACCAGTTAGAGCTATTGCAGCTATTTTGGTGAAAAGTGATAGTAGCTTGAACTAGAGTGGTAGAAATGGAGATGAAGAGAAATGCTAGATTCAGGATATTTTTAGAGGCATGGCTAAATGGGTTTGTTGAAGGAACTGGGATGGGGGTAATGAAGGCAGAGAAATCAAGGATTATTCACGGATTCTTGACTTGAGCTACTACAGCTGCCAATTATACAGTTAGGGAAGACCAGAGAAGATAAAAATTTAGGAAATGAGAAGGGAAGATGTTATGGGTTGAACTGTGTCCCCCTGAAAAAGGTAAGTTGAAATCCTAACCCCTGGCACTGCAGAATGTGACCTTTTTTGGAAATAGGGTCTAATCGATATAATCAGTCAAGGTAAGATGAGGTCATACTGGAGTAGGGTAGGCCCTTACACCCAACATGACTGGTGTCCTTATGAGAAGAGAGAAATTCGGACACAGAGACAGAGACCCACACACACGGAGGAGAATAGCACGTGAAGACACGGACACTTGAGGAACGCCAGCCACATGAGGACGGGACAGAGATTGCAACTGCCGGCTCGTCATCAGAAGCTAGGGAGAGGCAGAGCAAAGGTTCTCCAGCAGAGCCCTCAGAAGGCACCCATCCTGCCGACACCTCGAGTTCAGACTTCTAATCTCCTGAACTGTGGGAGAATAAATTTTTGTTGTTTTAAGCCATCCAATGTGTGATACTCTGTTCTGGCAGCCCTGGGAAGCCATCTAGAAGAGGATAGGAGAAGAGCTTGTTATGTTTCCATGAGAAGTCTTGTAGATACCCATGTAGAGCTATCAAGCAGCGATCGGATACATGAGTCTAAGCTTGTGGTAAATAAAGCAATGCACCATAAGCTAGTGACGATACATTAAGTACGATATACAAAGTGATGGCCTGAAGAGGTAGAAATGATTACACACATTCTATGAAATATTATGACGCCTCTGAAGGGAGTCATTATAAAGACTAGGTAGGAACCTGGAAAAATGCTTATGATAGTGTTACACACACAGGGCCCCGTGATTGCCATTCTGTAATGACTGTCTGTGGGTGAGAAGCAGGTGTCAAACCGTCTGATTCAGATCCCAGTTCCAACTCTTTGGAACGGCCTGGGATAAGTTGCATGTCACTGCATCATGCAGGTTATGTTTGTTCAATACATTTACAGCTCCAGGGTAAGTGAACGCAAGGCTGAATTGCAAAGTGCTGAGATGGCAGAGTGAAGAAGCAATCGGGGTGGAAGTAGAACTAAGCCAGGAAGTCTTCCTGGAAGAGCTGGCCTTTGCAAAATAAGTGCATGGCCTGGGGCAGAATGCCTACCATAGGCCAAGCATTGTGGCAGCATCAGGGGATAGGCTCGGTAAAATCTCCAATAAGTCATTCTCTGCAAACACACTTGTGTGGAATACTTACCTACCATACACTGAATGTCCTGATGGCTTATCCATGTCCCTTCATTCCTATGTGAGTGAGAACTTTGAGGACTGGGGCTGTGTCTTGTTCCTCTCTGTACCCTTAAGCACAAGACCTGGTACAGGGGAGATATAAATTAAGGTCTATTACATATAATAGAACATCAGAATCAGAATTTGATTTTCATATAGGAATGTGCAACAAAGGACCACTGATAACCGAGTCCATTGACCTGTGGACATGAGGCTCCTTAAAATCCAGTCAAGGTAGGGATCTGAAGACTGAAGCACAGCTGAAATCTCAGTGCTGTTAAGCGACTTTATCTAAAGTGAGCACAGGGACTTAATTGCTTTGGAAGATAGAAGCAAACACCGCCCATTAGAAAAATATAACCGAAGAAGCCAACCCATTTTATAATAGCAAAGAGGATCAATACATTGAGTAAATAAGACTCACAGTGGATAATCATAAATCAACTTAATTTCGTTTCCCAACCCCCCAGTGGGGAGATGCCCTTTCTCTGCCCTTTAATGAGAACTCAAGCATCCTACAACTTTTTTTTTTTTTAAGATTTTATTTATTTGTTTGACAGAGAGAGAGACAGAGAGAGAGGGAACACAAGCAGGGGGAGTGGGAGAGGGAGAAGCAGGCTTCCCACTGAGTAGGGAGCCCGATGTAGGGCTCAATGCAGGGCTCGATGTGGGCCTCGATCCCAGGATCCTGGGATCATGACCTGAGCCAAAGGCAGACGCCTAATGACTGAGCCACCCAGGCGCCCCGCATCCTACAACTTTTCTGATCACTCTCAGGAAATAAAAAGTCCTGTGATCACGTCAGTCACCAAACAAACTCTATTCATAAATAACTCAGTCCCATACAAAAGCAAAATTCCAAATTTGATTTAAAATTCAATCTTTTCTTCCAACTGGGGCTTGCTGCAGGTGGGACCCCTACAGCTGGGAATAGGGGCATGGACAGCTGCTTCTTTATTTTCCCCAGACTTCTCTCCCCAGTTTGCTAAATGTGACTTCTGACTTCTCCAGGGCTATAGGGGTGGGGGGTTGGGGAGGTGAGGAGAGGCAGAAGAAAGGAGAGCAGGAGAGATCCTACCTGACCAATGCTATCATATGATGGCTTTAAAGCTGACTCTTGTGTAGACACATCCATGGATTTTTCAGACACTCCTCCCATAAGCCCTGAGGACCTCCCCATTATGTGGGCATGGCACTGCCTTGTATCCCATTCTTCACTCCTTCTGCGTCCTAAAAATCCAGCAATACCTTCAGCTAGCCTCCCCCACCGCCCCCACCCCGTTAGACACACCTGAGAGGCCTTCACATCAGTTCTTCTAGCGCATGGCTAACTTCTAGTCCATGGGAACAACATCCTTTGCACAAACCATCTTGAGGCATTCAGGCTGATCTGAGCAGTGCCACCTCTCCTTTGTCTTGTTTGCCCAAGATGGCACCCATCTCTCATCCTTTAGACTCTCTGGTGGCTGTCAGAAGCCAGGCCACCTATCTCCCCATCTCAAGGTGAGCACACATTAAGCTCTCTGAGTAGACTCCGTGGAGCATCTCTCTCTCTCTCTCTCTCAGGGTAATTAACAATGTGATATTAGTTCCAAGTGTAAAGAGCTCCCCTTTCTTGACTCGCGAAAGGGAGACATGCATTTGCTCACTCCAACACAATCTTTGTTCAACTCTAATCTATTGGCAGCACCGAGGGCCTCAAGGCTCTTTCTATAGCACCATACGGCTAAGCAGTAATGAAGGGTACATGTGTGTGTCTATGTGTGTGTGTTTCTCAAGAGTTTCAGTCTATTAGGAGAACTAGAACATGTATCCATAAGGTTAGCACAAGGCAGTCGAGTTCCTGTTGGACACCATAGGGAAGGATCCACGGAGAAGGCAGCTCTGAGCTGGGTCTTAAAGAAAGACTAAGATATCCATAAGCTGAAATGAAAGAGAGAGGGAATTATATGACTAAATGTCCAGTGGTGGAATCAAGGACATGTGTACGGACGCCACTAGGTAGTTTGTTTAAACAAGACAAGTGAAAGATTAAGCCAAGCCAGACCCAAAATGAACAAGATAAGGGGTTTGGATTTTTGCCTACAGGAAATGAGTTTTGAAGGTTTTGAACAGAGCAGCAAGATGGACGATGGGTTTAGAAGGGCAGTGACTAATTCTTGGTGAAATGTGCTCATTTCCTTGAGTCATTAACCCGGGTCCCATTAAGAAGAAAAACAAAACAAAAACCTTCCAGGACTTGCTTTCTTTTCCAGGAAAACCCTTGCCCTTTGGAACTTCTCATGAGTTCAGTTTATAAAGCCATCCAATCCTGTTTTTACTCTTAGTTAAGGGCACTTGGCCCAGCTGCCAGTCCCAGCACCCTCCTTTCAGCCCTGAGGCCCTCAGCTTCAAGCTTGATGGGGCTGCTCAACCCATCTCCCCATGGCCCCAGACTGCCCTCTTGAAGAGGCCAAGGAGAGAGGTGGCCCTTTCTGAGCAGGAGGGCCATGGAAACCTTGCCTCCATGAGCCTGCCTACAAAGTCTTCACCCTGGGCCTTTTGAAGCCAAATGGGAAAAATCCAGGAGGCTGCAAAGCCAAGAAAACAGCAGGTTTGGATTCAAATCCCAGCTTTCCCCTTACCCTTACCTAATCTTGAGACCTCCCTCAGCCTCTATGTGTTAATCTGTAAAATGGAAACAGAACCACTTACCTCGGCAACAATGGTGCTGTGAAGAGTAAGCAAGAGGGAATTCGTAAGCATAGCTATCACATAGCAGATGCTCCAAGAATATTCCTCCATCTCCTTCCCCCCAACATCTCTGTGTCTTGGTTTCCTTGCCAATTAAATGTGATAGGGATTCAAGGATAAAGTCGAATCTGATGAATTTCCCAAACCCCTGACACTTGCCCACACAGAGGCCAGTGAGAGCAGAGGGCCTTTCTCTGCCATGTCTGAGCTCTGGAAGCTATTTCTTCTTTTATTATTTTCAACAATTAAAAAAAAAACAAACTACAAAGTAGTTAATAGTAGTATGCATTGGCACATACTTAGAATGAGCCTACCTTCCCCAACCTCTCCCCATTAGCACCGTCTGACTCAGTTTCCCCATCTGTAAAGTGATTGTACCTGAGGCAGCTCCCCTCTTTCACTCTCTGCAACTGCCCACTGGGTTGGGAGGATGGAGCCCGGCAGAGGGCATGCTGAGTGTAACCTCTTGGCCAAGGCCCTGGCGAAAGGCACCCAGCCAAGGAAAATTCTAGTGGGAAAAAAACGAAGCAAGGATTCCAGGTTTATGAGTCCCAGACTTTGAAAAACAAAACTGCTGAGTTGTCTCCTGAGTTAGGGGAAAAGAACACCACAGCCGCCTTGAGATTTCCAGGAAACAATTTGTGAAGGCTTTGGGCAAGGCTGGCAGGGGGACTCAGGGAGGCCCAGCTGGGTTGGATGCCCTGGGAGGTAGGGGATGGGGGTGGGTGGTGTTCCTGTGGGACTCTGAGTGTTCAGGTGCTCCCAGGCACGGTGGAGTTACGTGACTGTACGCGGGTTATATGTGCCTCTATGGGCACACTTGTTTGTTTGCCTGTGGGCAACCCCCCAAGTACTTATTGAGCACTTTCTATGTTCCACTGGGCACAGTGCTAGGGGGTGGGAATGCAACAACAAAGAAAACACAGTCCCTGAGCACAGGGAGCTGAGTTTAGCAAGGGATGCAGATTAGCGGGCATTTCAGTTGGGAGTACAAACATCTGGGAGGCAGTTTGTATCACCGGCCATTCAGAACACCGACTTTGCTGTCAGGCAGCCTGGGATGCAAGTCCAGCCACCCACGAGCTCCACGACTTTGGAGATCTCCGACTCTCAGTCTCCTCAGCTGGAAAGTGACCATATTAAAATGACATCCTGGAGATAGCATGCATATGTAAATGTTTGACGACCCATCTCCGTCACGTGCTTGCAAGGTCTGCACCTGGATAAGCACATACAATGTGCAAAGTCTGGGTGAGCTGTGTGCAGGACGTTAGCGCATCTGCTTGGGTCATGCATGTGGTGTGCCAGGCTCTAATCGGAGGTCACAAATAATGGCCCACAGACATAGTTTGTGGGGACACTCACCCAGTTTGGGTCTGGTTTCTGGCTCATGATGTATTCTAAAACTCAAGACATTCTACATCCAATCCCGATTTCCAGTTTCCCTTCAAACCCTGGACAATCTGGCCATCCTGCAAGCATTTGCATGTGTGTGCCTGCATGCTGTGGTCTCTGCTTCCCATAAATATGTCCTTCCCAGGAGCACTTTCCCTCCTGGCTGGTCTCCAGGTCTGTCCTTGGAGGGGCTCCAAGGTGGTTCAGGGGGGCTCTTGTGCAGACATGTTCTCTACGAAAGGAGAAGCAGGACTGGGCAGAAGCTGGTGCCGGGGCCCCCAACCTCCCTGGGCAGCTCCAGTTTTGGTCATCAGAGGGGCAGAGAGAACTGTGGACCCTACCCCAGGCTCCGGCCATGCGGCTGGACACTGGTTACCAAAGATCGTAACCAAGGATGGCAGCTGGACAAAATGGCTTTTCTTATCTATTTGATTTTGCATTTCAAAAATGCCTCAATTATAGCTCCAAAATGATTAAGACAATGATCTTCTCAGAAGGTGTTGTGGAATGTATATACTATGGTTCTTTTTAAAATGAGCAAATAGGGGGCACCTGACTGGCTTAGTCGGTAGAGCATGCAATCCTTGGTCTAGGGGTTGTGAGTTCAATCCCCATGTTGTGGTGTGTAGAACCTACTTTAAAAAATAATGATAAAATAAAACGAGCAAATGGGGTCCTGGTATAAGCTAAAAATGTATTTGTTAAAATACATTTTGGGAACCTACATGTGTGAAAGGTAAGACTGACATTTTCCTACTGTCCCTGGATCCTCTTAAGATGGCAAATCAATCCCTCATAATAGATATTTACTAGGCCCCCATTGTGTATAGCATGTAGGCTGGGCAAAAGGGGGCTACACAGATGAATATGCCCTGCTCCCAGGCCTTCGGGAAATTCAGTCTTATGGAGAGACACCAAGGAGAAATGAATGCAGAAACAAGAAAGGACGGGTATTATTGAGACATCTTGGGACCAAAGAACACCAGAACATGGAGGAAGACCTGTGACTTACTGTGCAAGCTCGTCCCCCTCTCTGGACCCCATTTTCCCTTTTGTAAGATAAGAAGGTCAGAAGAGATGGGCGAATACCAACCCCACATTCACAGCCCTGCCCAGCCACCAGCTTCGGCATTTTTTTGAGGGAGTACAAGGTGTAGCCCCAGTTCTTTGCCTCTTACTCCCCACCCCACATTCTTGTTTCCAAGTCTTGGCTTGTGCTGGGAATTCATCTGGCTTGAGCTCTGAAAGAAATTCATCAGAGGAGGTTTTTCACATTGCTTTCTCTTAAAAAAAAAAAAAAAGTCTGGAGTCCAAAAAGACGAGGCATCTGGTGGAATCTTCCAGCATCCATTATTGGGGTTCCTGGCCCAGGTGGGGAGAGCAGCCCCCAGACAGGTGGGAGAGTTTACCCCTTCTCTAGCACCAGGGCTTGCTGTGAAGGATTCCTCTGAGGTAATTCTCCCACTTCGCAGATGGGAAAAATGAGACCCAAGGATAGGAGGGACTTTCCTCACAGTTCTGATTCCTTAGCAAAAACTCTCCCCACTATTTTTCTCTCTCAGGCCGAGTCCTCAGGACAGAGCGAGCTGAAGACCTCCAGGCCACGTCTGTTCTCAGCCTGATGTTGACTGCTGTTGAGCTCAAACATTGAGTTATTCTTGCTCTGCCCCGGCCAAAGGCCCGAGAAACCCAGTCTCACACAAGTCTGTGTAAAGGAAGAGCAGTAATTCTGTAGCCCAGAAAAAGGCCTTGAAGGCCTGGGGTATCCACCTTTAGGAGAATCTTTGTTGCCAGAGTCCACAAAAGAAGGAATTTAACACGGATAAAACCAATCTCTTAGAGCAGTGCACACAGGTGACCAGAGATAGCAAAGAGAAGTAGATTGACTAGTATTTATTCCAAAGATGTTTGCCTTGCTTGTTATTGGCATCTTGGGAGCTTGTCAAAGGGATCAAAGGGTCCATCAGCCGAGCTCTTCGCCTCAACCACATCACTATTCCCATGAGTGTCATTGGCACTTTTATCATAAATTGAAATTCCCATCTCGGTTTCAAAGTGGCCAGTCCCACAAATAATTGGAAAAACCCTAGGGACACCTCTGATGCCTACAGTTCAAAGAACTTCAGAGGCACTCTGTTGCTCACCTTAAAATCTGGAAATCGGTTGAGAAAGTGAAAATCACACGACATAGAAACTCCCTTCAACAAACAACCCCAGGTTTCTTTTCGGATTTTTGTTAGAAAGCTATCTCTCTCTTCACAACACCCTAAAAATGGCCAAGTCGAAGATACTTAAATGTTTTTTGATGATGGCAAAATCATCAACGGTGTTCCCCTTAACTAAATATGTTTATGGAGAGTGCCTTGCATGTTAGTCACCCACTGAACAAATGTTTATTGAATGCCTCCTCTGTGCTAAGCCAGGGGAAACAATAATGAAGAAACCAAATACAGCTCTACTTTAATGGATTTAAATAACTTAATGTCCTATATTCCTTATAATTCATATATTCTAGTGGAGCAGAAAGAAAAAAACTTTATAAACAGGCACATTGTGTAAATTGCCAGTCATTCTAAGTGTATTAAGAACCAAGATGGAGAATAACAGAAGGAAACGTGGGACATTTTTAATCATCACACCAAGGCAGAGGGGATATACTATAGGGCTACAGCTTTCACAAGATCATTTGGTGTATATCTTCATTTTGTTGTTGATATCACTTGTATGTAAGTTACCCTCGGGAAGTATTGAATTTGGATTGAGGAACCCAGTATAATCTGGTCTCCTACTCTCCTAGGTGACTAACCTGAAATCATCCATTTAATTAAATTTCTTGGCTCAGGAATCGGCAGTTATCAGAGGAGATTAAGATAATGCTAACAGGAAAGTTGGTCACTGTTTTTTTTTTAAAGATTTATTTATTTATTTGAGAGAGAGAGAAGGTGAGCAGGGGGAGTGGGAGAAGGAGAGCGAATCCTCAAGCAGACTCCCCGCTGAGCAGGGAGCCTGACACAGGGCTCAATCCCAGGACCCCAAGATCAAGACCTGGGCAGAAATCAAGAGTCGGATGGACAGAGCCACCCAGGCGTCCCACTAACTGTTTTCACTAAACACAAACTGTAACAGACAAAGTGTGTTGCTGGCAATGAGAAGAAAGCATAGAAGGGCAAAGTTGGGAGTACTCAGTGTTTATAAGGAAAGGGAGTATAGCCCATTTTGGGCTCCACATTTTAAGGGTTGATGACAAACAGAGGCATGCCCAAATGGCTGTCAGTAGCTGACTGCATTCTCGCAGCTAGCTCATGCACATCTAGGAGGTAGCCGTGGTGGGGCCAGGAGCCGCGTCTGCCTCACTCACAGCTACAGCACAGGGCCTGGCTTATGGCCTAACACAGTGTGAGTGTTCAAGTGAAATCAATGAAAATGTCTGCAGCAACGGTGACCCATCGTCTATCCCTCCCCCCGCCGCCTCCCCCCAGGATAGACTCTCTGATTTCCTTCTCCTCTCCCAACCTGCCCTTAGGAAGACTCCTCCTGACCCCTAAATGGAGCCAATGACTAAGCTCCTCTCCTCTCACTAAAGAAGACCTCAATCTGTCTCTTGTTGAAGCAATGTCAAGAGTTAAGGGGCTGGAGAGGGGGCTGGCATACTGAACCAGAATGAAGAGTCAGGTAACCCCACTTCACCTACCTGTACCCAAGGCCTGGAATTCGTAAACTGGAGGTGATGGTGTGCAAAGGATCTGAGGGCACCTGTCCCACTCTTATGATCATTTTTACCGTGGCCACAAACCCCAATCCTCCAGAGGCTTACTTAGGCTGCAGTCTGATCCTGCCTTCTTCCAGAAGGTCAATGACCCAGGCCAGGGTAATGTCTCCCTCCTCTAATGCCCTGGCTCACCAGCAGCCTGAACCACAGCACGTGCAAAGGCACAGTTGTCAGAGTGTAGGTTGAACGGGCTGGGATAGCAGA